AAGAGAGAGAAGGCCTCTGTCCTTTCGCTTTGGCTCCCGGGCCGGGGCCTCCCGCCCGAGCCGCACCGCTGCACCGGATCTCGGGCAGAGGTCCTGGCCCGAGCCTCCGGCGGCGCGGCCGACCCGCGGGCCCGGGAAAGGCGCAGCCAATGTGCGGCGGGAGCCCGAGCGGGCGGAGACCGGAACCGCGGGGACAGAGGTCCCGCAGCGCTGGCGCAGCCAGAACGCTGTCCGCGGCCGCTCGGGGCGGCCTGCTTCACCCTGACGGCCTCCTCCAGGGACTTACACAAAGTGTCCCTTGGCTAGGGGAAGGGTGCGGAAGCGTTTTAGGCTCTTTTTGCCGGGAGTGGGTGTGGAAAGCCTGCACCACCTAACAGCGTCCGGCTCCCCGAGACCCCGCGGCGCAGGCCGGAGCCCACAGGCGGGGAGAGGAGCCAATAGCTTATTTAGGGGGGCGGGAAAAAAAAAAAAAAAAAAAAGCAGCGGCACCTCACTGCGCATGTGCGAGTCTCAAAAAATTTTATTTATTTATTTTTTTAATTTTTGACGTCATTTCGCTATATCAAGTCCCAAGCCAAAATGTCTTGTGCATTGATTACTCAGAAGAATTACTGCTCTGACTCCTGCAAATGACTGCAAAAGTACAGAGAAGGTGTTCAAGGTTTCTGAGACTTTTGAAACAAAAATAGAGTCTCCTGTTTACCCACTCTTCACGTCCGTTTCCCCCACAGAGATTGTCAGAGCCGAGACTGAGCTCCGCTAAAACGTCGACTGAATTCGAGGACACGGTGGCACTACACCTCATCCTTTCAGAGGAGATATTTGCACCCTCGCTTTTTGATATTTCAAAGGAAGGATCTGAATGTTGCTAAAGCTGAGTTACTTTAATTTACCTCCCGCTCCAATGTCACCCATGTTTATTTTTTAGAGTGAAGAATAAAGGTTCTCTTATGAACAACATAAAAGATTAACTGCCTATATTAAGAAAATACTAATACTTTTCCATTAATAAGACAGATTTAGTCTTAAGGAAATGAATTATAAAGAAATGCTTTTTATGCTAGAAGTGCTTTCTTTTTTCTTTTCTTTTTTTTTCCTGGAGAAATAAAACGCAATTGCTTATCATTTTATTTGTAAGTCAAGGGCAAATGTCTTGGAAGTTTACAAATAAAGTTGGAAAAATACAGATAATTTCAGCACGTTTATGAGCACATTCCAAAGAGAAACAATTTACTAATAAACTCCTGGCTTAAAGATTGTCTTGCAATACTAAGGACACGTAATGAGTAAAGTGAAAATAGGAAGCTCGTGTAGCCCAACTGGATAGAAAAACATTAAATTTTTGAGAATGTCATGCTCATATATAATGCGATGCTCATATATAATTATATATGGTGCTCATATATAATTAAACGTATGGCAAAAGTTTAAGAGGCTATCAAATACCTGGTATTATCTTTCTGGGAAAGGAAATTCCCAGAACCCATTGCAGACCATGATAACATAATAGACTTGTGTTGCACTAGAGTCTCCCTTTAGGTTTAGAGAGGCTATATGAATTGTATGTATTAAAAGTCATGAAAATGCATTTTTCTAAGTCTATTTTAAAGATCGTCTACAGTATTCAATGGTAAGCTTGCTTTATTGAATTTCCTAAGAAGTGTTCTCCAAAGTGATAGTCATTTTAATAAGTGAATTATTTGAGCTGAATGAATAATCATTTGGTGAAAAATAGGGGAGATTCCATTGAATCTAGTGATCTCACTCTCCTTAGAAAATGATAGGACAGTATGAAGAAAACCCAAGTGAAAATATTTTAAGAAAATTGTCATGAGGCATATTTAAAGAGAACTGGTAGCACATTTTCCCAAGCTCACTGTGACTTGAAGCCTTCAGTTATACTGGAAAACAAACTGTAATGAATCATGTTCAGAGCAAAAACACTCTTCTCAGGTAATTACTGATAACACTAATTCTTCTGATTCATGAACAGCTAAAAGCTTTCTAAACATCATTGTATCTTCCCAGTACAATTTATTCATAAGTATTTTGGAAGTGTACTTGCTGAACTTATGAGTTTTGTTGAGAAGGTTGGAAAGGAGTCAAAAATTGAGAGGTAGGATTCTATAGAAATGTAACCAATTCCAATAAATAGTCCTCTGTACGGAAGTACATTATAGAAATGACGTGGTTGTCAGACCTAATTGCTTGGCTT